CACACACACACACACACACACAGACACACACACACACACACACACACCGGAAAACCACAGAAAAATCAGCCCAAAGCAATCGATGCGTCCAATTTGCCGCATGTTGTTTGCCTCTAAAGGCCGACGTCGGGCCTCGGGCCAGTCAAAACACGGCTCGGGACGAAAAAAAGTGTCCTCGGGAAGTGTTCGACTGGTCCCAGAACCCACGCATCGAAAATACTGAAGCGCTGGATAAAAGGGTCAACATCCACGGCCTCGCGGCACGGACTCTAGGCCACGGCCCCGTGGATGCAGGGCGGCTCAGCACGGACACCCCGCGCGGAAGGTATCCATCGAAACCGAAACCGACCGAAACCGACAAGCCGCAAGCAGCCTAGAAGAGCGCAGCGACACGGCAACGACAAAACAACCGACCAATGCAACCGACGGCGGCACGGTCGAGCCCGGCCGAACTGTGGACACGTGTCCATGGGACCGCGCATCCGCGGGATCACGCCTTGGCACCCAGATTTTTTGTCAGCGGCGAGGCGGCGAACTCCGCTCCAGCGAGACGCTAGATAGGGGCACTAATTAGCGAATTGGCCGGCGAGTAAAGCGGGAAAGGGGGCCACCCGAGAGGAAGAAGGGACGCTCAGACGCCGAAGAGTTCGACGATGAGCAGCCGGGGGGGCAGCAGCAGCCAGGCGCGCAGGGCCAGAGCGCGGTGGGCGGCCGTGGCGAACCACGGTGGCAAGGGCGGCCTCTGGCACCCAGACATCCGATGCCTAGATTTGTTCAACACGCGGTCCCTAGAAGTCCCGACCCTGTCTTTCCCCTGGGCCAGCTTATCACACCGAGAGGTTCCCAGGGCCTGGCGAAGGCCCCCAGAAGCCGAGAAAGGCGGAAAACCTCCGCACTGGATGGTTTCAACACGCTGGAGGTCTGGGGGAACTGGAATCATCCCGGGGGGATTGGGGATTGTAAAGTAGTTGCTAAGATGGGTTGTACCTGTCCGAACCTAGCTTGCAAATGGGCTTGATGTACCCTCAATGGGGAGTTAGATAACTCCGCAAAGTTGGCGTCGCCCACTTAGCCCAGACCTCCATCCCCCTAAGCTGCTGCGAGAACTTGTACCCCACATATAAGCTGAATAAGGGCGGAGATACCCCACCTTAGCATCCAAGGGTCTACCAAAAAAGCATGTTGCGTTTCCATTTCGTTTTCTTGCTGAGGCGTTCTAAAACGAAAGCGGTCCAACTGGTCGCCTCAAACGGCGTTCTGGCGCAAATCCGAAGCCGTGGCCAACGGTGGGCATTATGACGAAAGCAGAAACTAAAGAAGGGTAAACGAAACCGAGTCACGAGATTAGTGAAGAAAACGTTTTGGGGGAAACCAACAAATACCGAGACCGCCACTCCACGGACCTCTCCAGGGGTGCGTTCTCACCCGAATCTCGAGGCGAATCAAGCCGTGGCGACGAGGGACTCCCAGGAGGCCAAAAAAAGCGAGAACAAGTCAGGGCTAGTGGCATGGGTACTTGCTCCTCCTCGAATTTGGTCTGCCCCTGTTAGCATCCACTCACACACACACACACACACACACACACCCGCGGTGACCAAAATATACGTTCGCCCGCTCGCGGGCCTCCGCGGTCGCGCCCCGGAAGACGGCAGCGACCTGCGCGAACTCCTCGCCGCCGCGCGGCACGTCGAAGAGCTTCCGGTCGTCCAGGCCGGCCCGGCCGGACGAGGTCCAGAGCCTGCGGAAGGGGCTCGTGTCGGGAGGTCGACTACGTCATACGAGAAACGACATAACTGCGAGTGCGGGGGTTCCGGATTACTTGGACTCCGAAAAACGGAACTGGCTGTGTGCTTCGGGAAATCGGGCTCGACTTATAAAATCATGCAGATCTCCCTGGCCAAGGAAGATGAGGGAAGAGGAATTGGAGGAGAAGGAGGATCCAGAGGAGGCACGCGAGGAAGAGGAGGAGGAGGAGGAGGAGGAGGAGGAGAGAGCACGAGGAGGAGGAGGAGAAGGAGGAGGAGAGGGAAGGAGGAGGAGAAAGATAGGAAGGACGAGGAGGAGGAAGCAAGGAAGGAGAAGGAAGAGGAAGAGGTGGGAGGAAGGAGGAGGAGGAGGAGGTGGGAGGAAGGAGGGAAGACAACGACCAGTGCAAACCCATGGCACATCCATGATGTTGCAGCAAACCCTCCCTCCAAGTTCCCTCTGCAAAGATATCTACCAAAAAATATGATCATTGTAAGAAGTGCCCAATTGGAAGACAATGGACTGAGAGCGCTCGGTCGTGCCAAAAAACAATTCCTGGGACTTCAGCGCCACAAATCAACTTGACCGCTGTGTCCTAATACGTAATCCTAATTCGTGCCAGGACACCATTCGTGAGGCTTCAACACCGCGAATACACCTGATTGTTGCACCCTGGCAACCCTACATCTTGCCAGAACACCATTCCTGGGACTTAGCCATACGAAACCTTGTAACGGTCGCAAGCTTTCAACACGAATATGCGCGGCAATGAAACGAGTCACATTCTGAAAAAGAACCACCCTCCACCTTTGAAATTGCTGCAAACTTGTAGCGCGAATGTGCGTGCCGCTGAGGTGAGAGCCACATGTTGAAAACCAACCGCCCTTCATCCGTGAAACGGCTGCAGACTTTTACGACGAATGCGCACGACGCTGAGGCGAGAGCCAAGATGTGAGAAGGACCCGCCCTCCCTTCGTGCAACTGCTGCAAACTTTTAGCGCGAATGTGCGTGCCGCTGAGGTGAGAGCCACATGTGGAAGACCACCCGCCCTCCATCCGTGGAACGGTGGCAAGCTTTTGCAGCGAATGTGCGCGGCGCTGAAGTGAGCGGTAAGGCGAGAGCCACATTTTGAACAGGACCAGCCCTCCATCCGTGAAACTGCTGCAACTTTCATTCGATCGTGAAGAGTGAGGAGGTCTCAGGAGAAGCGCCTGGCCAGCCCTACCGACACGTCGTGCGACAGGGGGGAATTATCTATAAGGAAGAGGGATGGAAGGGGGAGGAGGAGGAGGAGGAGGAGGAGGAGGAGGGGAGGAGGAGAGGAGAAAAAAAAAAAGAGAGAGAGAGAGGAAGGGGGGTGGGGGGAGGAGGAGGAGGAGGAGGAGGAGAGGAAGGAGGATGGAGGAGGAGGAGGAGGAGGAGGAGGAGGAGGAGGAGGAGGAGGAGGAGGAGGAGGAGGAGGAGGAGGGGGAGGGGGAGGGGAGGAGGAGGAAGGAGGGAGGAGGAGGAGGAGGAGGAGGAGGAGGAGGAGGAGGAGGAGGAGGAGGAGGGGGAGGGGAGGGGAGGAGGAGGGGAGAGGGAGGAGGAGAGGGAGGGGAGGAGGAGAAGGAGCAGCAGGAGCAGGGAGCAGGAGCAGGAGCAGAGCAGGGGAGCAGGAGCAGGAGGAGGTGGGAGGAGGAGGAGGAGGAGGAGAGAGGAGGACGAGGAGGAAAGAAGAAAGCAAGGAAGGAGGAGGAGGAGGAGGAGGAAGACAGGAGCCAGGAAGGAGGGAGGAGGACGGAGGAGGAGGGGGGGGGAGAAGGAACAGGGGAGGAGGAGAGGAGAAAGCCAGGAAGGAGGAGGGGAAAGAGGAGAAGGAGCAGGAGGAGCAGGAGGAGGTGGGAGGAAGGAGGAGGAGGAGGAGAAGGAAGGAAGAGGAGGAGGAGGAGGAGGAGGAGGAGGAGGAGGAGGAGGAGGAGAAAGCAAGGAAGGAGGAGGAGGAGGAGGAGGAGGGGCAGGAGGAGGTGGGAGGAAGGAGGAGAAAGAAGAGGAGGACGAGGAGGAGCAGGAGGAGGTGGGAGGAAGGAGGAGGAGGAGGAGGAGGAGGAGGAGGAGGCCCGGAGCCTGCGCAGCTGCGAGTGGGTGTGGCCGAGCCACGCCTCCGCCCCGATGCGCTCGGGCCCCAGGCGCTCCCGCCACGTCCGCTGCAGGTGCGTCTCCGGGCCCTCCGGGCACAGGCTGGCGTCGATGAGGCGGGGGAGGCAGTCGTACTGCAGCAGCGTCTCCTTGCTTACACCCTGCGAAATGCTCAAGAAATCATGGGTTAAGAAACTCATAGTCTCAGAACTTGAATAAAACCCAGAACTTCTATCAAAATCTTGGGACTCACATTGAAAAGTTAAGAAGAATCGAGACTCTGGACGAAAACTTAGGTTTTCTTAAGCATCACCTAAGGTGTACTCCGAGTTTCTTAATAAGCGTCGGGGGGGCGTCACCCCCGCCGACAGCCACGCATCGACCCCCGTCGCGGGCAGCCACCGCGCGCCGAAGGCGCTCCGACCCCCGTCACTGCGCGACGATGAGGCGAGGCTGACCCCCGTTAGGGTGTACCCCCCCCCACGCTTATTGAGAAAACCAGAAAAATAAACATACGCCAAATAATCGGGGAGACGTAAGACTCGGGTACAGGGGACTCGGTTTGGCCCGACGGGGGCCATCATGAAAATGACGAGACCCAATCTGAAATCTGACGCGGTCTCCCGCTGCAGACATCCCACGAAAACGGGACCGTCAAAATCCAGGATGCGCTCGTCAAAAATCGTCGGCAAACCCGAGTTCCGGCTCGCTCGAGTCTTACGTTTCCCTGAAATCTACATACGCTCTCGGAGGCCCGCGCGGAGTTCTCGGAGATCGGCGCTTGGGCGCCCCTGGCGCCGCCCCTGGAGCCACCCCTGGCGCGCTCCGCATGCCAGGGAGAGGGGGGTCCCGATCCAGGAAATCCGCGCGGACCTCGGGAAGTTCACGCCTGCGCTGTTTTGCGGCGGAGCGCCCAGAAAGGAGAGCGGAGGGGGCGAACCTTCTCGGAAGGCTCAGAAGGCCTCCGTCCTTCCGAGAAGTTTTCTACTCCAAGTCCCTTATTAATCGTCACCCGGGTCCGTTTTTTCAAGGCGCCCTTTTTTGTAACTGGGAGGGTCGGGTTTATTTGGACGCTTTCTTTGGATTGGAGCTTAGGGGGTCCGGTTGATCAAGGCGCCCCGTCGAAGGGGGGGGTCCG